AGTCCAAGCACACCATGGATTGTTCCCAGTATTATGTTTCAGTAGTGGTTTTTCTGGTGCTCTTTGTGACAGGGACAGTTGCTTAGCTAGCAGTCCAGGAAAATTATTACTTCGTGGCAACTTTTGCCTGGGCAGCTGACATAACCCAGGAATAATGTGCAACTTGCAAATAAGCTTTTAAGGGTCAATCCTATGCATGTTTAGACAGAAAAGGTCCTATAATTTACAGCTGGCTGAGGAATGCACAGAGTTATAGGGTTTCTTTCTGTCTAAGCATGCCTATGATGTGTCCTAAATCAATTGTGCTCAATACCAAGTCAATTACTTACTCAATGCCTACAGAAAGTTAGAAAGCTGTATTATGAAATAAGAAAATGTGAAAGGCAAATTCATCAGGAAGATAATCTACTGTCAAGTCAGCATTTCAGACATGTATATTCTCCCTCTTGGAAAAATAGACAAGTGAAGATTATTTCTTAAATCCAATTATTCTCATCCAGATGCTTTCACAAAAGACCATTTCTTCTATTACATCTTACAAATGTACTCTAGCATTTCTGATCATGGAAATGCTATTTTATAAATAGATAGAACACTTACTGAAAGGAGCTACAGAAAGTATTTTTCCCATTCATCCAACTCCTAGCCCACGTTACTAGTAAAATTATCAGTTCCATTCCATATTGCAGGTTAAAGTAAAGACAGCCACAGTTGTATGAGAGGAGTTATTTCCGTAAGAAAAGGGAAGACATTTTTCCCTTCACGGCCCCTTCCAACTCTACTATTCTATGATTCTATGATTTGGAGGGAGAAAGAGGGCAAAGACCATGAAAGGCCCAATCACTGGAGTAAAATAAGTATTACAGCAACATAAGCTGGGTATTGGTATGTGGATGATGCACATTTCCTATAAGTGATGCCAGGCCAATTTAAAGAACACCAGAGCTAGAGGATGCAAAATCCTCCCTCTCACCCAATTCCCTAACAAAGCCCTGCTTCTTCCTAGCTTTGGTCCCAGTGAGGCTGAGAAGTAACACCCCTACCCTAGAAGAAAAATGGCTAAGGAGTTTTGTAGGCAAGGAAAAGTATGGGCAGGCAGAGGGTATCAGGAGAGAAATTCATACACCTACAGTAGCCCTTCACGCAACTGAAAGAAAAGTTAAGAAAGTTTTCCCAAGGCTCTGGGACAAATCCAACCCAAGAACCTCTACAAAACCCACAAAACCAAAAATAGAAAATAATCACTCTACTATATGTAACAAGCAATAATACAGTAAAACTGTATGAACATGTTTCACCGATCTGTTTTGTGGTCCTAAGCAAGTTATAATCATACAGTCAAGTCTAGGTAACAGACAGAGATATGCTCTGCCATCCGCTCAGCTGTAAGAACCAAACAAATGGGGTACCTACTTCATTTCTTCCCAGCATGCACAACTAATACACAACTGATTATATTGACTGCATAACTATGTATTCAACCTGCATTAAACAATATCATTAGTAGCATTGGTTTATAACTGTAAGCCAGAAGATTAGTGAAAGCCACCATATGTGTCTAAGGACATTTTCAGATGTCAGTGATAACAACTCCAAAATGAGATGTGATAAGCCACAGTATCTCAAAAAGGAGGTACATCATCAGACTATGAGCATTTAAAGCCCTTTGGGTACAACAGTAACAGTGCTGCCTACCCTGATCTTGCTAGACTGACTTAACTAACAGCAGTAAGAATCACATTGTCACCCTAATCATATGAAATGTCAGATCAGGAAGCACTATTAGATACATGGCAGTCATCCATCAGAAGCAGCATTAGACCAATACATATACCTGGACAAGTACCTGCTAAGTTAATGGAATTAGAACTGCTATCCTCTTAGATTTAGGTTTTCTATTTATTGGGGAAAGGGTAACACAAAGCAAACAGGTTGCTTTCAGAGCAGCAAGAGCATGAACAGGACATGAATGTCTCTGCCCCTTTACCCCATGAGCAGACAATATGTGGCCCTCCAGATATGGATGGCCAGAAATTCCCATCTGGCCATGGCCAATTGTCTGTTCCCCCCTGTAATCAAGTTCATATAATCAGAGGGAGGGAACGGCCAGTACATAAACTGCAGGAACAGGCAAAACTGTTTAGCACCAGAAGCCACAAAGAAAGCATAATACTGAGACATGTACACAGAGAAGCTCCTAATCTACTTGTGTACTTCATCTGCTGCAAGCCCTTAATTTCTGCTTGCTGGCACTTATCAGGCATCCTCCATTATATGAAAGCAAACAAACTATTGTCTCATCAGCAGAAACTATAAGCCAATATAATCAGGAGGCTGCTGGCTGGAAAACATAGCAGGTACAAGACACCCCACTTTCACTGCATTACATTGACACAGATGCCACATTTTAAGCTACTGTTCTTTTTCAGTATTTTGAAACTTTTAGAACAAACAAGAGCCTCAAGAATTAGGAAATGCAACATTTAAAACATCATATGCCTGAAAATAAAGAAAAATCTTGACATGGTGTCAAAAATACACAAGCCACTTCTTTTGCCCTCTAGTCAGCACACTATTCCAAATGTCTTTTAGCTGCTCTATGATGGCAAGTCCTTTTGTGCTTGCCACAGGCTTTCCCCCCACCCCCACCTTTTTTCTGAGATTGCTTTTTGTTATTTCCAATCTGACACCTAGTGACAACCCCTTCAAAATGCCAAGGTAGAAGCTTGAAGGGGTTGTCACTGGTTTGTCATGCCTTTTTTAAAAAGAAAAATTAGCACAAGTAATTTGTGCAAATGTTCCAGACAAATATTATTGCTACAACACTGCATTTATATTATTGCTGCAGCACTTCTACCTGCACAGAACCCAAGGCAGCTTACAAGGTTCTCTTCTGCACAACAATCCTGTGAGGTAGGTTAGGCTGAGAGGTAGTGATTGGCCCAAAGTCACCCAGTAGTCATGGCTGAGTGAGGATTAGGACCCAGAGTCCCAGTCTAACACAAGAACACCACATTGTCTCCAAACACACATTTCCTACTACATACATTTTAGTCAGACCTGCACTGATTGTTGAGCTCCTCAGCACTTGCCTGGATCCCAAATGGCAAGGTTAGGGAACTGGGAAAGTAATGAACTGGGAAAAGTCTGCTTTCGAAGTGCAGAAGGCACTGCCATGGTCACTCACCTAGAGCCTGAAAGAGCCCCCCCCCACTTTGTTTTCTTTTGACAACTGTCAAAAGATGAGCTGTCAAAAGAAAACAAAGCCAGGAATCTTTGTTCATGAAAGGGTGTGGCAAGTAGGTTTCCCCTTTCAAAGCAAAATCCTCAAGGGGCTTTTTTGTACCTAGCTCTGGTTGGGCTTCTTATACTTTTCCATCATTCTCAACATTCTCGGTGCCCAGAACAATAGGAAAATGTGAGCCACGATTTTTACAGGAGCTCAGAGCTTTGACAAGCGGCTGTTAAAACTCCTTCTCCTTTTGGAAGTTCCTGGCTGTTGTCAGGAGCCGCCCCTATTCAGCATGCAACCCACCCCTTTACTGAAGGAACTTCATTGGCTGCCTATTCACTTCTGGCCCAGGTTTAAGGTTCTGACACTAGCATACCAAGCCCTAAACAACTTGGAACCAGGGTACCTGAGAGGATCATTGGAGGGCATTCTCCTGGTGGTTCTACATGGACCTACTGGTGGACCAACTAGTGTCCAGCAGATGAAGCACATTCTGTGTAGCATCTCCACTTTTATGGAACTCCCTGCCTCCGTAGGACATGGTGTTGTTTTTGGTACCAGCTGAAAACATTGTTGTTTCAGAAAGCTTCCTTTATTGACCATCCATAGTTCGAATGTCATCCTGTTTGTAGTGCACTGATTTATTCTTTTATCTGCTTTGTAATGTTCACCACTCTGGAATCTGTCTACATATTAATTTGATTTATACTGTTTTGGTACTGCTATATATTAAGATAAAATCCTATTTCTTCCCTCCCTCCCAGTTCTCCTTTCTTTTAAGGCAACAAACACCTTTTTAAGGACCAAAATTCTATAGGGCATTGATCAAACTGAGTTACTTAGGAAATGAAGATTTTTTTTAAAAAAGGGCTTTATAACAACTGGTTAGCGGAAAAGTGGTTGACAGATGTAGCTGTAATAAAGCAACCAAGACAGTTTGCAGTTGAATCTCACACAATACTTTTTTGCCCATTGCACAACATTTAACACTGAAGTCCCCACTACTTCAGTGAGGAAGTATTTGCTTCCATCTTTGCTTGTGAGCCCTCTCTGATCATCACCCTCCATAGAAGAAAGCGAAGCAGCAGCCAGAGCAACCTTTCCAAGCTGATGCCCTCCAGGATTTTTGGATTTCAGTTCTCATCAGCCCTAGCCACCATGGCCAATGTCCAGAAGTGACAGGAATTATAATTCAAAATATTTGGAGGCTACCAGGTTTGAGGAGGCTGGGCTAGGGTGCCAAACTAAAAGGTGTGTTGTGTGATCAGAATCTGTGAACTGATTCACATACTTGCAGGCTGGTTAATACAGTTCACAGTAGCTTATTAACCACCTTACACATTAGTCATTTACTTAATTATGCTTGCCAGGTGTTGTCATCATGATGTCTGAACCCAGCAAGAGGGGGTGGCTAGAATGGTTAACTAACTACCCAGAAGCCCTACAACACAGCTCTGAGTCCTTTGATAACTATCCCAGTCACCCATCCTTGCCAGGTTCAGAGGTCATGATAAATTGCATCTTGTGAATGTAATTAGGTGAATCAGCCAACACATCATGGCATGCACAGAGCTCGTAACAACCCACCCTGGTTTATTAGCCACCCTTGTGTTGCGCACACTAGGTCTAAGCTTGGAGAGCTCTTACACATTAAATGTTCTGCTATCCAAGAAGTCACCCTAGAGATAGCTTATGACTTTGCTAAAACATCAAGAAAGTTTCCCTGTTCAACCAAAGAAGGGGGAAAGAAACCAAATGGCCAACTCACACGGATTTTGATGATTCTTGTCTTTGTGCTACAACTCTTCTTAAATAGCATCTTCTGAAAAACAAGCAGAATCATTAGGTAAGATTTACTATATATTTTATAGTGCTTTTAAGGTGGGTAATAGTTCAATTTTAATGTTGATTTGATTTAATTATATTTTAAATTTTGTATACTTTTGAAGGTTTTAATCTTTTGAATTTTAATGTTGCAAGCCTCCCTGAGTCCCAGTCAGTGGGAATAGGTAGGATATCAACAAGCAGCAGCAGCAAAGATTTAAGCACAATCACATATTTAATCTGTAGTGTTAAAAATGCCAGAGTGCCGGAAGGGAGCCAGATTAAAGAAAAATTTAAAAGAGTTATTGCTTGAAACACTTTGGGCTTAAAGAATGTTACTATTCCTGAAATAACTGGATGGCAGGGAGTGGTTCCGCAGGACTAGCTCACTGCAGGATGAGGTGGGAAAAACACAATCTGCTGAATTTATCATGAAATTTTAAGAGGCACGGACATTGGCAAGCTCACTTGAGTGTTTTCTAGAAAACTCACTCTGTATAAGCCTTCCTCAACTTGTGGCTTTCCTCCTGTTTTTGTTGACTACAATTCCCTACTCATTGGTCATGTTGGCCAGGGCTGATGGGAGGTGAAGTCCAAACCAACTGGGAGACACCAGGCTGAGCAAAGCTATTGTTGATGGTCATGGATGAGAAGGCTGTAAGACACATTCGTCTCCTCATCAGCTGTTTTGCTAGAGATTAAGCTACAGGTTCCACTGCATAAGCTGGAGGTAGGCAGAGAGGAGAGATAGGAATCTTTAGGATACAACACATGATGCATCCATATCATATAAAGCAACATAATTACACAGATCATATTATATTAAAGGAGGAAAAGGCAAACAAAGGCTACTAGTAATGATGGCTTTATGCTTGGTACCAAGATCAGAGGAACCACGCAGCACACTACCAATTGCTGCTCAGGGGCAATAGCAGGAGAGGTCCATGGTCCTCAGTTTGTTAATGGGAAACAGGATGCTGGACCGTTGGTCCAACCCATCAAGTCTCTTCTTGTGTTGTTCCTATGCTCCACAAGTGCAGCCTTTCCCTGTAGCGGGATCCACTGACAAGGTCCTTGTATGTTCTCCCTGCAATCCACTAGTTAAACATTGTAGCAGCTCTCCATCCACCCCAGCCCTGAGATCATTATCACTGCAAAGATTGTACCTCTTTATTTTCTGCCATGAGAGTGGTATCATCTGCACATCTGAGGTTGTTGATATTTCTCCCGGCAATCTTAATTCCAACTGGTGATTCATCTAGCACCACCTTTCTCATGATGTGCTCTGCATACAAGTTAAATAGGCAGGGCGACAGTATACAGCCTTGCCAAACTCTTTTCTCAATTTTGAACCAATCAGTGGTTCCGTGCCCAGTGCTCACTGTTGCTTCTTGACCCACATGCAGGTTTCTCAAGAGACAAATAAGATGGTCTGGAACTCCCATCTCTTTAAGAACTTGCCACAATTTATTTATTAAAACATTTCTATGCCGCCCCTTGCCGAAGCCTTGGGGCGGCTCACAGCACAAAATAAAATACAATAAAATACAAAAATAACAATATAAAATTAACAATATAAAATAAATAATATAAAAGAAGTCGCCCTGGCCAGATAAATAAGCAAATATTGTTAACAATTAAAATGCTTAAATAAAAAGGTCTTTGCCTGGTGCCGAAAAACAAATAACACGCACACAATCAAAGGCTTTAGCATAGTCAATGAAGCAGAAGCAGATGTTTTTCTGGAACTCCCTAGCTTTCTCCATGATCCAGTGTATGTTGGCAATCTGATCTCTAGTTCCTCTCCCTCTTCGAAATCCTGCCTGTACTTCTGGTAGTTCTCGGTCCACATACTGCTGGAGCCTAGCTTGTAGGATAACTATGCTAGCATGTGAAATGAGTGCAATGGTGCGGTAGTTTGAACATTCTTTGGCATTGCCCTTCTTTGGAATGGGAATGTAAACTGACCTTTTCCAATCCTGTGGCCAATAATCCAGGATATTAAGCTCTTTCTTGTATAGTTCTTCTGTGTAATCTTGCCACCTCTTCTTAATCTCTTCTGCCTCTGTTAGGTTCCTGCCATTTTGGTCCTTTATCATGCCCATCTTTGCATGAAACATTCCCTTCATATCTCCAATTTTCTTGAACAGATCTCTGGTCCTCCCTATTCTATTGTTTTCTTCTATTTCTTTGCACTGTTCATATAAGAAGGCATCCTTATCTCTTCTAGCTATTCTCTGGAATTCTGCATTCAATTGGGTGTATCTTTCTCTTTCCCCCTTGCCTTTTGCTTCCCTTCTTTCCTCAGCTATTTGTAAAGCTTCCTCAGACAGCCATTTTGCTTTCTTGCATTTCTTTCTTTGGGATGGTTTTAGTTGCTACCTCTTGTACAATACAATGTTCCTATCATAGCATAAATTCCTAGGTTTCTCCAGAGAGAAAGAAAGACAGTTAAACTAGTTTAAGTCCATTGTTTAGATAGACCTATGCAATGAGGCTATCAGCAATAGAAAAGGGTATGCAGAGATTTGTGGAAAAACTATCAGAGTTTTTATGGTATTATATTTATGTAAAACCCAGTTATTACATGCCTTTTTAATAAAGTTGCTATTTCTTCTTAATTTTAAGAATTCAGTTAGTAAAGCTTTCTGAAGACTAATAATGAAACGAAGAGCTACACATCTGTAAATATAAAAATCCTGAAGGCCAAGCATGCAAGGATTATATATGATTGTTTTGTTTCAGGTCAGAAAAGTGGACTGAGAAATGCTAAGGGACATTATGTTGCTCTTGTATCCCTCCTGTTATGTGATCACTATGACCACAAACTGTCTATTTGCTTGTCTTTACCCACCTTTCAAGTCTTCCCAAGGGAGCTTACCATATAAAACATAGGACTCAATTTCAGTACAAGTGCATAATATCCTAAATTAGTTTAATCAAAATTAACAATGAACCAGTTAACAGAAGCCAGATCCAGAACTTAAACAGAAGCAGTTGAATAACAGTAGTAGTAATAGTGATAAGAACTGTGTGTAATGACAAGCCTTTCTGTTGAAAGCCAACATCTACAAATACAATTTAAAATTATCTGGAAAAAAAACAGGGAGAGCCATGTATCTCTTGCAGAAGGAAGTGCAAAGGCTAGGAGCCATCACTGAGAAGGCCCGCTTTCTCTGCTAACCTTATAGGACCTAGTGGGAAGCCAGTGAGCAGAGCCTCCAACTATGAATTTGATACACATGGAGGTTTAAAGGAATACAGATAGTCCTGCTACTAACCTATACTCAAGCTATTTAAGGCCTTAATGGTAAAAACAGTGATTTAAATTGCACCAAGAAATAATGGCAACCATGGTCAATGATAATGAAAGTCACTGGAAGATCAATAACAAAGGTGCATTCTTCTTTGTTCATTCCTTGGCCAGTGTGGCCAATGATGTTTTGGTCCCAAAATCAGGCTTACCCCCAGACTGGAATGGATTGTATTATTTATTTATTGAATTTATATACTACAATCAATATCACTATTCTCCAAGATTATCTCAATTTGAAAAGTCACCAGCTGCTCCAAACCTTGCCCAAGAACAGAAGACTAGATTCAGATCTAGTAGTAATTGTCACAGTTCACTGAACCTTAGTTTGATGTTTTCAGAAGTCTAGGCACTGCCTCCTCTAGGGGAGCAGACATCACGAATGCTTCTCAAATAAGCATTTATTACTTTTCAACCCCAAACTGCCAGTCCTGCCCTGGCAGATTTTAAGAGCCAAGATGGGCCTACCACCTTCATCCTAGGTCTTTGCTCATCTTCATCTCTGTCAAAAGTGTGTCAGCCACGTCAGAACAAATGTGAGCTATTTTATCTGCAAAATGGTCATTGCAGGCCTCCAAGTGTTCTCCAACATAGAGCTACGATAATCAGACTTCTCTGCTGCCTTGTTCTATGTAGCTGCAATGGTGGCAGAACAGTAAGATTTCTTCTTCATTGCCACAGAGTAGGCCCCAAAGTGGATTCCCATTTCACTGTTACGCAGTTTATCTTCATCTCCCCATCTATGTCCTACAAGCACATCACCTCTGTCCTACAAGCACATCACCTCTGCTGAATGCAGTATTACAAATATCAATATATAATTTTAAAGAGTTCTTCCATTGAGAATATATTACAAAAAGGCAGTAGTATTCTCAAGGTTACAGTACAGTACTTTAACACAAAAGTCATAGTTTAGCACCATTCAACAAAACTCTAGTACAAACAAGATCCATCAGAAGTGGCACACCCTAACCATCCCCTCCCAAGTGGATTCAGTGGCTCACAAGGGATATTCCAAAACCAGAAACCATCACTGTGAAGAGACACCACTTCCAGCCACAAGCAATTTAGCATTCAGAAGCCTCTTTAATTACAAGGTAAATTGAGCAAGATTGTTTAAACCAAAACAACACTGACAGCAAGAAACATGAACCACCCACTATTAACCTAGACAACATTGCAAAACTGATTTATCAGTATGAACCAGATTAATGAGCAACTGGAACTTTGCCTGCCCATTTTCAGAACTATATGAAGTCATTACCTTAGCAGTGCATTAGAAAGCAGATGGGTAGGCCACGGTCTACTGGCCTGTTTCCAATGGACCATCTACTGCCAGCTGGTTGCTGGGATCCTTCCAAAAATGCTGGATTAGCTGAACTTTGGTCTACAAGGCATTTGCTATGCTCTTAGCAGGGTCACAACTTGCCCACTCCTGCTTTCAAAGATCCTGAATACATAGTCTTGCTTGGTAAATTTAGATCACTTCAGTGGAAAATAGGGATTATAGTGGAAAAATGTGTAAGACCACACAAGACATCTCTGTTCTTAGGCATTTACTTAGTGTCAGTTTGTTCTTGTTTAGTTAATTTTGTGCCACAATAAAAATAGTTTGCACCTTCACAGTGTTGTGTACACCAAATGATAACAAGGCCAATTAAATATATTTCAATTCCAAGTCATTA